GGGGAATCCGTCGATTGTCTCAGCTAGGGAAAACTCTTGGACATCCCAAGTGAATGCGGTACATCCCGCTTCCCCCCGGGTGGGTGGGTGGGAGAAAACAAAAATTGCGCTCTACCTCAGAGCACAACGGCAACTGGAATTTCGCATCTTCGCATGGCTCAACAGTTGCAGACTGACATCAAGAGACGTTTGAAAACTCAAGCGTTGATTTTGAAATAAGAGTTCAAAATCAAACTTTCCACGTGAAAATAATACCGTACGCAGGCAAGCTGCGATGGTGGCTTATTTTCACTTGTGTAAAGTTACCGCGTGAACCTGAACAATGCATGGATGCCATACGGAGAACATATTTCAATCGGCTGGCATCAATCGAATTATAAGGAGAAATATTTATCATGAAAACAGAATTTCTCCAATCTGTATATTAAACATAATTGCGTATCTCAAGAGTTCGCAACGCACTCACTCGACAGCACAAGACTTTTCCTCGTAGGTGGCATGGGGAATCCGTCGATTGTCTCAGCTAGGGAAAACTCTTGGACATCCCAAGTGAATGCGGTACATCCCGCTTCCCCCTGAGAACATGTACCCCATTCACCCAAAGACTTCAGGAAGCGCGCGACTCAAGAGATTCATGTCAAGATCGACACGTGGTGCACCTCGGATGCTCACGCCACGTGAGGGGTCGTCTGCAGGATTGGAAGAGGATGGCACACGATCTAGCCAGCAGATCGTTTCCAGGCTCTCTTCGCAGCAAGCAAAGAAGTCGATCAAGGCAGCACAAGAAGCATTGTCACTATGGCCTCTGACGAAGCTTCCGAACACGCCCTCATTGTCAGTGAAAATGACAACACCTTTCCGCTCGACGTACGGGCGAAATGCCTCGAGGCAAATGCTGAGCACAAGCGCCTCAAGCTCGAAGATCACTGTCTCCCTTTCGCGGTCACCAGCTTTCAAAAGCTTCTGCACATGTACTGGGGCAACAGCTTGACCAAACCAGCACAACGCCTCACCAGAAGAACTGAAGACTACTCCTCCTAAACCACAATGGCCGTTTGGCTCGAAGGAAGCGTCCACATACACATGGACAAAATCTTCACGCCGCGCCCTGACTGGACGTGGCTTGGAACTTTCAAGGAAACTTTTCAGCTGAGTGAGTGCGAGCCGCGTGAGTTGGCTGACGTCCCATCTGCGTTGCCTGGAGTGTTGCGACAACAACTTCAAAGCCGCCTTTGGTCGCCGGCCAAAAATTTGGCAACAAGCGAACTGCAACCGGCCCCTTAGCTTTTCACTTTCTTTAGGTTCAAGCTTACCAGTTGCTAAAGCCCGCTCAATGTCACACAACGCCTCGGTCCGCCTCTTCACGGTATTCTCCAAGTAAGCCAAACCGAGCTTGGCATCACGAAGGTTCACTTGCACTCCCAGGACGACGCAAAGTGCATCGTAGCTGAGCTCCTTATCCTTCGAGATCTCCCATCCCAGCAGTTGGAATAACATGGAGATTACAAAGTCGTTATGCCGAGCAAAAGCCTTGCCGCAAAGATTCAGATAGTCATCAAAGTATTCACTCCAGACAAGAGTCAACCCTACGGCACCTAATTTCCAAATGGCGTAAGCCGTTCTTATGAAGCTGGTCACGCTGGCTGTTGAGCCGAAGGGAAGCACCCTCTGGCGATAGATTTCGCTCGTCCCACGCTCAATGTTGAAGAGCACAAAGAAACTATCTAAGGCGTAAGCTAAATCCGAAAGGGGAAGTTGTTTATAGGCGGTACGCAGGTCCCACGCCTTGCACACTGGCGTGCTGTGCTCTGGGCGCCCGCTGACGAACCACTCATTTAACCAACAGGCCAGCATCCCGGCCACCACATCAATGGTGTGCACGCTGACTTGTTCAACCTGCGTGACTGCGGCATTGACTTGGGAAGACAGGTAATTATCTATGGGCCTCACCTTTGGACCGTCTTCATTGCTCCCTTGAATGACTCCGAAACGATGTGTTAAGGACGCATCTTCAGGGATCTGGTCTGGAGACAACGGTCCATCAACGAAGCCGCGCTCAAGCTCCTTCATCGTCGCCTTAAGAACACCCTGGTCAATCACAGGATCCTCCGAAGCTTTGATCGTTGCTAAGAGACCATCACGCAGCCTCTTAGCGCTGGATCGAAGTTGAGATTCACTCTGCTCCGCAGGACGAAAGCGCTTAGCGAAAACATTTGATCTAGGCAGCTTGCCTGTCAAGTCAAACCCATGGGCAATGTCTTTGACAAGGTCAACGTCCTCATGTCCCACTTCAAGCAACAGCTCCTCGAAAAGAGCGAGGCGTTTAGGACTAAGAACATCCTTTCGAAACTGAGGAAGGTCAGCCTTTAGCGCGCGCTCGGCCGGCTCTAAGTCGGCTGCTCTGCTAACCCACCGGCGAAGTGTTGCGGTGCGCTCCTTGGCCACATTGGCCTCACCTTCTTTATGGATTCTCCGGACTGCACAGGAGATCTCGGAAGGCATGAGAGCGGAGAGCTGCGTGGGGTGCCCAACCTTAATTGCCTGTTCAACAAACTGCGATGGTGTCCGGTACACACCAATGACAGCCTTAGTCATGTCCCCAGGCGAGACTTGGGACCCCGAAGCCGCTCGATCAAGCACAAATCCCAGGCTCTCCAAGAAAGAGGCGTGCTCAGCTTTAAGTTTCTTAGGCCCCCTCGGCATGTACGCAACAATAACGTCACGCCGGCCTGTCCAAGGCCTTGTGCAATGCAGGCGACGGCCATCGAACCTGAAGCCTTCATGGGTGACGGGAATGCAAACACCTCTCACTGCGCGACCTTTGATTTCAAGCTCGACGTCACCCGCAGGATCCTCCATCCACACAGAGCCATCAGAAAAATCCGATAGCGCAGCAATCGCATTGTCTGTGGAGACTTCATTATTCGAGTCCCGGTGGGGCTGAGCAGACACATCCCTGAACATCCCAACAGTTCCGAACTCCAAACCTGGAAAAAGGCCTTTGACATAAGAGCACATTGCCTTGACAGTTTCCGGGAACTGCTTGGTCGTTGATCGCACCCCGCACATCGGGCCGTGAACAAAGCTGCCACCTTGGAACGATTTCGCTCCAGCATCGCCCTCCCAACGAAGAGGTTCTGAAGGAAGCAAGTCAAGCAACAAGGACAAGTCTTTGCGGTGTACTTTAGGCAACTTGTTTACAAGCGAAGCAACTCGCTCGGCAGAACCCGACATCATGGCTTCTCGAACCTCGGTATCGTCAGGATTCAGACCGAGAGGAGCCTCAGCACATCCAAGAACATTAGCAAAAGGACGCTTTCTGCTAGAAGGCTTCAGCAGATTGCTTTTCTCAAAACCCTCGGCACCCAACACACGAGGGGCTGCAGGGACTAAACCGGAACTAGGGGAAACAGCCGTGGGACTAGGGCCAACCTCAATCCCCTTGCGCACCACATGGGCACGAAGGACACGGCTGCCTGCCGGAAAGCACTCGATTGCCGGAGAGCAAGCAGCATCATCTCCGGGCTTCCACGGAGACGGGAGCTTTTGGCCAGGACGCAAGAAAGACGCGGCAAGATTGGAAGGCACAGTGACAGTGTGAACCGACGCAAATTCGCTAAGCAGCGGAGGCACGCGCTTGCGAGTCTGGGCTCCAGTGAAAGCACGCGCACCTTGGATGGCGGGTGCGCCTTCATCGATAGCTTTGGGAGATGGGCGACAGCCAAGTTCCAAAAAGTGATCTTTCAGCAAGCTCGCCATGCACTTGCAGAGGCCCCAGGGGTAGGCCGTTTCAGCGCTGGTTGCCCACGTACGGCCGACCTTGCCCCAGCCCAGATGCACATGTTTGCCAGAGCACAAACGATGAAGCTCGCGGAATTTGGGGATGTTATGCACCAGGAGCGTCTCTTTGCGACGCATGCCACCAAACTCACAGTGATGAAAGACAGTTTGAAAGACATCCGAGCGCTTCAAGAACTGCTGCCACTGTGGAAGCAGCCAAAGGTAGCTGCGGCTCGGATTTTCACAGGAAAAATATTTGCCGTTCAGAAGACAGTAAGAACTTAGCTCAAGAGTCAACTTATACAGCATGTTAGCCTTTTGCACTCTGAGTGCAGGGATCTCCGAAAGATCAGGAACCCCTTCGGGGTGGCTCTCATTGCGGAGGACAGGTGGGGCGCCGGGAAACTGGATGTCACGGGCCCTGCTTGCGGTACCGCAGGGCGGCGCAAAATGAATGAATTTGACAGCGGGATCCTTCAAGATGCTCCAAAGATGTGCAATAGAAGCCTCACAAGTAAGATCAAGCTGAAGGACTGAACAACATGCAGTTTTGCCGACCACATGGTCAACACCGAAGGCATCAAAACCTTCACTACGAAGGGAAGCACTGAGCCGCCCAGTTCCGCAAAAGACCTCCACGGTCACGACCTCGCTCAAAGGCTGCCCTTCAAGTCGTTGAAGAGTAGCCTCCGCTGCAACAGTTCTGTCTGACGCTGCGAAGCCCTGACAGGAAGGACCGGATGACTGTCAAGAGTGGTCCTGCAAGCTATGAGGTTTCAGGCATCCCGGCTCTGCACACAAGTGAAGGCCCTTAGCGCACTTTCCGCCAGGCTTGGCGTCCTTGCAACCGCACGGCAAGTTGAAACCCCAGCACAGACGGTGGCCTTTAGGAGTTTGATGCGCTTTGCCAACAAGCTCTTTTGGGACCGAGAAAGCATACCTCTTTGGGGCCTTCTTAGGGTTCGGAAGGCGAGGATTCGGACGCTTGGTAGGTGGATCGGGCTTGTCATCCAACTTTGCAGTGGAGGTTGAACCTGCTGGCAGGGGAAACAAGTGGTAAGCGACTGAAGGGTCGAGCAGGATGTTGGGAAGCTGCTCGTCCAAAGGAAGCTTGCCCACGCCGCTGCGGCGCAACGTGGGCAGCAACTCTGCCAGCCGGAGGAATGCCGCTCGATCAGCGCGGAGAACCTGAGCAATAGAGACCTTGGCATAGTTGGGAGGGGGAGCCTCCTGGAGGCGTTGAACAAGTGCCTGATGATAGCGGTTAGCCACATCAAAACTCATGAGCCCAACAAGGTCGAATGCAAGCGCTCTGCGGCGCATGGCCAACCAAGTCTAGTTCAGAGTTGATGGCACAGTTGAGGACCTGGGGCTTATCCTTAACCGCAACGCCGCTCCCATCTATGACGAGCTCTTTAGAAGGCTTCTTGGCACTGATTTCTGCACGCCGCGTGTTGAACTTCTCAGGCGCCAACCAAATGAGCTCGTTCTTCTGGGCCATCGAGAAGACAAGGTCGTATGCACCATGTGCAACCTCCTCTTCACCTTGAAATGTCAACCCGCCCAAACGTGTTTTCTGGCTTGCCAAACGATCTTCTCGCTCGGCTATGTCAAGAGTGAGAGGCAAGGACTCCTCAGTGCGCTCCACCTTTTGTTTGAGGGCTGACACAATCAATGTATGGGCTTCGAAAAGAAGCCGCTTGAGCCCTGCTATGGCTCCCTGACTTGAACCTACTGGGAGCAGCCCAACGACTGCACTGTCCTCAGGAACCTTCCCAGGAGGAACCAGGACAAAAGCTAACTTCGAGAGAGTGTCAACCTGTTTGGAGACAAGATGGTCCACTTCGGCTTGCGCGAGCCCGACCTCCAAAGCTCTCTTAGCGAAAGCAGGCTTGGATTCCGTGAAGGACGTTGCCACAGGCAACCCCGCCATTGCACCTCGCATTAAAAATCTTGAGCGCAAAAACACGCAAGTCAGAAATCTGCATATGCTGCCACAGCAAGTTCGACACAACACTCGATCAAGCCCCCAGGTGTCTCGTGCAACCATTTGGCTCTCCTTTCGCACTCCGCAAAATTTTGCCCGCACTGCACCTCGCAGCTCGAGCCCTCGAACCTCCCGGAGTCCAGGATTGGCTCACTCGAACTGGCCACGAATCCCTTGGGCCGCACATCGCAGCCCAAAAGGGCGCTCGACTGTTTGACAGACTGAGCTGGGTGCACCTCGCACCCAACCTGGAGTCGGCCGGACCTCCCGGCAACCACTCTTTGTGGAGCAACTCAGGCCGTGGCATAGAAATCATCGCTTCAAGCTTTTATTCAACACAGCATTCAAAGATCCGATGTCCCTCAAAGGTTTGCTCTTCTTGCAATTGACACAGAGACGAGTCTCCAGAAAAGCGCTTTGCGTCACCTTTGAGTAATCACCTGTTCTCTTACGGCCACAAGTGAACACATCTCCAGAAGCACCAACCGCAATGGAGTGGATGGTCATAGTTTTATCATGTCTCCAAAATTCCATGTCAGGCGCAGAGAGGTTAGACTTCTCAAGGGAATTCCCGAGCCCAGAATCGAAGGCATCGATCCAGTCAGTCCCGGGCTCCCCATCAGAACTGTCCGAGTCGCTCGACGATGACGAAGACGAAGAACTTGGCGCGGGCTCGGGGGCCCGACTCTCAACTCCATCAGCTTCGTCCTCAGCTTCACCGGTGAATTGGTTATCAAGGAAAGACTGAGCTTCTCGTTCAGGCGTCCATGCGGCCTTGCTGTAGTGCTGAGCCTCGCCTTCAGACCCAACAGGAGTCTCGTCTCCGAAAACCCCACCATCACGCACGTGAGGAGGGGCCGTGCTGAGGCTGGGCTCGTGGCTGGGCTCCATAGCATGAGCCTCACTTTCAGCTTTGAATAACCCGGATCTAGTTGCATCTGGAATGAAAAGGCCATGCCGAATGCTTCGGAGCATTCCGTCATAAGCTCTCAGCGGTGCCGCAAGCTTGTCACGCATATAAGCATACATAGACAAACCCTTGAGGGCATGGTGACCAAGGAGGGTTTGAGCTTGCTCGCTGACTCCAAATTTGCCGCACCAATCAAGAGTGGTAGCCTTAAGCGAATGCCCTGACACACCATCGGAGCATTTGTTGCATCGGCTGAGTAACGCACGCAGCCACTGCCCAGCCTCATCTGTGGTCACTGCTCTCTGGCTCCACTCGCCTGACTCCAGCGGTGCGGGAAGAAGAGGCCCCGCGCGAGCTGAGTCGAACGCTAAACCGACTTCAGCAGCGATTGCCACGAACTTGGGTCCCCAAGGCTCTGGTCCAACACCCCAGACAGGAGCTACTAAAGGCATAGATACTCCTTGCACGGCTGCTTGCCTTGCGGACTTGTGCACCCGAGTACCACATTCAAGAAAACCCTGAATTTCCCCAGCTGCGTCCACAGTATCCACTACACACCTGTGGATCTTCTTCACATCACCGACTCGGCTTCTGCTGTAGATGCAAAACAAGAAAGCGCCACAGGCATAACGGTCCTTGGCATCAAGCTCTGTGTTGCCCAAGCACGCCTCGAGGAAAGAGACTTGCTCCACAGACAAAACAAGTGCACTCACACGCTCTGCCTTCTGCGACTGCATGAGGCCTTTAAGACCAATCGACCAAGGGCTAAAAATTTTGTCGGAAGGCCCGCGGCAACTGACTCCCACAACGTGGATCGCGAATCTCACCGATTCAGTGAACCCGTCAACAGCGCCGACTTTGGCCTCACAAGCCCTCAAGTGCCTGACATACTCATCACGTTTTTCGGTGGAAAAAGGAAAGGGGCCTGAAAAGGGCCGACACTCCTGCATGAACTTTACGTACTTAAGCAATGATGCTGCACGCTTACTCACAGTGGCTACCTTCTTCCTGCCAAACAGTTCGCGTAGGGACTGCATGCCATCAGCAGTTCCCATGCCGGCCAAGGAAGAACCCACAAGCGAAACCGAAGGATCTAAGGTCAAAAGAAAATGCCACTTCTCAAGAGATCTCTGCCAGGCTCCAGCTTCAAGCTCAGCATCCGAAAGAACGTTCTTGAAGTTCACACACCCACGGAAGCAAGGCTGCCCAAAAGCGGCCGTCTTAACCCTCTTTGCAGCCTTGGCCTGTTCCTCAATCGGAGCATCTGCCGCTGTAGGGACTGGGAACACTATTTTGGGAGGCTCAGCAGGCAGAAGCTGATCTAAAGCACCCTTGCCAAAAATCAAATTCAAACCCGGCATTTCCCAAGGCAACTGAAGAACCTGCGGCTCACTGCATGAGAAGATTGCTTCGCGAATGGTCTCTTGAAGCTTTGACAAGTCTGGTTCTGAAGCTGCTGCCGTCACATCCATGCACTCTTGACGGTTTGACAAGTCTGCCTCTGAGGCTGCTACCGCCACACCCCCTGCGCTACCGGAAGCAGCAGCAGAGGCGGACACAACCTGAAAACTGCTGGAAGCCTGAGAATCCCCATCAGCAGAATGCCCGCTCATTGCAGCTGGCGACCAAGACAGCACTGAAAGAAAGAGCCAAGAAAGCTAAACTGCACCGGCGCAGGCGTCGGAGGGGGAGCCTGCTGCTCCAGGGCCCTGATGCGTCGCTCGCACGCAGCAACGTGCGCTCTCAAGGTGTTGAGATCGAGCTGCAAGCGGTTAACGTGCCGGCTAACCAAAGAGAGGCTACTGGCCTCAGACTCCTCGTAATCTGAGGAGTCGATGTCCATCTGCTGGCAGCCCGCGGCTACCAGCGTGCACACGCCCTAAGGGCGAAAACTCGGGTTACAGGGGACACGGAGCCTGCTAAAAAGAACTAGGAACCTCTAGCGGCCCAGAAAACAAAAATTGCGCTCTACCTCAGAGCACAACGGCAACTGGAATTTCGCATCTTCGCATGGCTCAACAGTTGCAGACTGACATCAAGAGACGTTTGAAAACTCAAGCGTTGATTTTGAAATAAGATTTCAAAATCAAACTTTCCACGTGAAAATAATACCGTACGCAGGCAAGCTGCGATGGTGGCTTTATCGACTGCACGGCAGTCAGTCATTGACAGTCTTCTTGTTTGCATATTCAGAAACCTCCCCCCCGCTCCATTTTCGAGTTCCAAAAACCAAGCCCAAAATGGGGTCTCCCCTAATAGTTTCCAATCAGGCGGTCTCAGCTTTGGGAACCAATTTTTGGCCTCAAAATGGGGACCAACCCGAGCTCAAAAACTGCGGAATTCTACGCGGGAAACGTGTTTGAAGCTTTACCAAAGTTTTGCCCGACATGCGGCGACCAGTGTCGCGAGCGACCGCGTCTGTTGAAATCAATCAAAACGCTCCGTTGCTACACTGGTGATTGGGCTTGTGCTGCTTAAGCACCGTTGTTTGCCACTGTAACTATGGGGGTACTCTGATGTGTCCTACGTTTTTTGTTGTTTTCCGGGCCCCGAAAATGGGCTCGTAAAGCTCGTCGAAAGTGTGGCAGGGTAGGGAAGCCCTGGACGGAGGTTTTCAGGCCTGGAGAAGTGTTGGGAGGGACTTGGCAAAGCTGCGGTGCATGAATAGTAGACGCCTTCAAATAGTGCCCGAATAGTGCCCGAATAGTGCCCGAAATAGTGCCCGAACTAGTGACCGAATGAACCCTTCATAGTGCCCAAATGATTTTTCGCGTAGAAAAAGGAGATTTTCCTTCCTTTACGAAAGGAAATGTATTTGGGCACTATGAAGGGTTCATTTGGGCACTATTTCGGGCACTATTTCGGGCACTATTTCTTATCCAGACAGTTACGACCTCAGTGTTGTTATCGTTGACTGAAGCAAAAAGATTCGGTGAAGAAGGTGAACCAGGACCGGGAAGAGCAAGTGTAGTTTGCATACTGTTGTTCATGTTTACAGCAGCGATTATGCACAAAGATGCAAACGCAGCCGTTTTGCTCAAGAGATTCAAGGAACTCCTTAGGGTTTAGGCTTTAGGGTTTAGGGTTTAGGATTTAGGGTTTAGGGTTTAGGGTTTAGGGTTTAGGGTTCGCCAGCGCAGTTTTTGGACTGCGCTAACAGGCGCCCCAAGCATCTCACGCGAAGCTAGCCACCGCATCAGCTGTAAGTTATAGGGCTGGTCCCTAAACCGTAAACGCACCGAGATTCCCTTTGCTCTTCCGGGAAGAGCAAAACGAGTCTCGGTGCGAGAGTTCTCCCGTGTCTGTTTTCCGGCACTTTTTCCGGGTTGGGGTTCGAAACCTTTGAACTTTTCTGGCGCGGCCGGGTCCCCACTCGCGAAGTTTCAGGGGTGCGAGGTGGGTTGGGGCTCGGAGGCGGAGGGGTCCGAGTGCGAGCATCTCACCCGATTCGCCAGCGCAGTTTTTGGACTGCGCTAACAGGCGCCCCAAGCATCTCACGCGAAGCTAGCCACTGCATCAGCTGCTTTTAAGGGGGCTGCTTCTTAAACCCTAAACTTGGTCGGGAAACTTTTCAAACTTTTCTGGCGTGGCCGGGTCCCCTCTCGCGAACCTTTCCCTGGCACCGAGACTCCTCCCAGCACCGAGACTCTCCCGGCACCGAGACTCCTCCCTTGTCTATTGAAGTTTTTTGCTTTTTCCATTCCGAGCCCAACTTTTGAAAGGTGGTTGTGGCCTGAATCTGTTTTTGTTTTTTGAAGTTTGCGGCGTCCCAACCCGGCGTGAAATTCAATCCTTTTGCCGCTCCAAGCCCGTTTCCAAGCCCAAATTTGTTGGGCGTTCTTCTAAACCTTAAACCCCCTTCTCCAAGCCTCCACTTTGGATTTTCGGCCTTTTCCAGACCCCCTTTCCAAGCCCAAAATTGTTTTGCTTCTTCATTTCAAGAACCCCGTCCAATCCACCAAATCGCTTGTTTTTGCTTTTTCCAAGCCATTTTCCAAGCCTTCACCTACCACTACTCTGTATTGCTTTCTCTTGT